GATGTATTTCATAGAGTTTTTAAAATGTATTTGGTTCTTAAAAAACAGCAACACACCACAGAATATCATACAATTTATCATTTATTGTCTATCATCATATTGTGAAAGTATCATATTGTGAGCCATGTATCAAGTATCATCGAGTCATGAGAGACGAATGTGATTCCTGGCCCTATTAGTCGTACTAATGATACAACTTGGTAAAGTACTGTTGCGTTAGAAAGAAGTAATCTGTGTAAGTAGGATCCATAGCAAAAGAAATTTCAATTATGTCAACTGGACTTAAGTTTTCTGAGTGAAGACTGTTGGCAATCTGACCAAAACTGAAGAAGCCCCTTGCTGCGACACATCTTAACTCAAAACTTTTCTCCAGATGACTGAATTTAAACATTTCTTTTGCTTTAGAAAGAAGCAGTAAAAGGAGTATCAGTTTTAGATAGTCGTAGTATGTAGTAGTAGTATAGCAGTAGTTTCTGGAGGAGATATTTTCATATTTTGCAAATCATTGTCCTTTTGAAATGTAGGGAAAACATTGCCACACTCGCAAATGAAAAAAATAATGAATTACACATCCTTAGCTCAACAAATTATGTAATAAAGTTATAAAAATAACACGTTTCAATCAGTGTGGTATAATCACTTTTTCTTGTATTGGTGCACATCCAACTCTTTCCAAATGTCCAATTGTATGGATGCCCTGAAGAAACATGTTTCTATTTATAAATAAACCAGCTCTGTTGATTGCTCCCATTAAACATTTACAAATCCATTTAACGCCTTAAACCTTTTTTTCAATTGTTTGTCCGCTCCCAGCATCTGTAGGGACAAGAACAATGGATGATTTTTAAGCTTGTTATGAATGGTGGAAATGTCTTTTTATGTGATCAAAGCATGATACAATTTAGAATGGGAAATCTTTACTTGAATAGCCAGTGGGGGAAGAAGTAGGCTACTCAGTTTTATTTATTTATTTATTTATCTGTTTATTTATTTTAATTAAAGGTGCACTGTGTATTTTTAATTTTTTTTAGTTGGGGGTCCGTCAGCTGCTTGTTTCTATGGATATGTCATTGCTCTGCCTGGAATGTTCCACAGTATGACATTAAACAGCTCTACCTTACATCTGGTTTTATAGCTCAAAAATACCTAGAAAAACAGGCATTCTGACTGTGAGTGGGGTCGCCTCTCCACAGATCTGACCTGTAAATTGGTCTGGTTTGGTTTCCATAAAGATAGAAAGGTTTAGTACTGTGAAACATTCCAAAGAAAACGATAACATCTCCATGGAAAAAAGCTTTTGATGGACCCTCCACCAGAAAAGTGCACCTTTAAGTAAAAGTACAGATATCAGAGCAGAAAATAATCAAGTAAAAGTAAAATTATCACATGAAAAAAGCAAGTTAAGTCTAAGTATTTTATTATATATAAAGAGCCCGTTTAAAAAATTTACTTAAAGAGTAAAAAGTAATTTTCCACATATTTATTTTAACATAAACTATTAAATTGATACATTTTTTTCCCTAACAGATTGTATATTCTGCTTGCTCAAACTATGAATGTGAATTTTCAACAAATCCCAAACTATAATAAAAAAAATACTTGTACTTTTTCAGTCCGGTTAAAAGATGTAGTGGAATAGAAAGTGCAGACATCTTCTCTCAAATCCTGTGAAGGAAAAGTAAAAAGTACCTATTGTAAAATTTAGTACAGATACATACATTTTTTACTTACTGGCAATAGCACCATAACTGTAACTATAACTATTGGTCCTAAAACTGAAACTGCTTTGGGCATTTTTGTTGTTGAAAAAAACAACACCTTATACCACCACCACCACCATACTACTACTACTACTACTACTGCTGCTACTACTACTACTACTACTACTACTACTACTACTACCACTACTACTGCAACTACTACTACTGCAAATGCAATATTTCCTCTATACTTACAGACTCTTTCACTGACAAGACAAAAAAAAAGTTTCAAAATGAGCTTCTCTTTATTGCTCCATGCTGTCAGCTCTCTTTAATACCTCCATTTATAAGCTACCTTTGAGTTACCTCTAGGCTTTTATATACTAAATAATAAATGACAACCTGTGCGAACGATTCAATGAAGGCAGACAGGAAATCTCCCATATAATTGTGGAAAGACCTGAAGGAGAGCCACAGACCCAGGAAACCCCCTCCAAGACAGATGGAGAGGGTGATGGGTGCTGTCAGGCCAGATAAAGTGAGCTCTGAAAACTGCCATTTATCATTCAATACCATGAAAGAAAAGGAGTGCCATGACTGGGCAGCTACTGTAACCTCTCGTGTCAGCTGCGTGGGTCATGTGAGCTCAGGTGAAGTCTGAGCTGAAAATGATGTATCTATAAGAAATATAGTAAGGACACAGAGCAAGAATGCTAAGACAATTATACATTTTAACCATTTTCTAATCAGAAATATTAAGGAGTGTAACAATATTCAAGTCTCACAACACGATATCGTCACGGTATGAACCTCAAGGTACGATATTTATTGCAATATCGTGGGAAAACTCATGATATGGTGGGGAGGCTCACGATTAGGAATGTAACAATATCCAAATCTCCCGGTACGATATTTTCACGATATATATCTGACGGTACGATATTTATTGCGATATAACAAAATTGTTAATATGCTACATTTTCCTCTTAAAATGCCTTGACAAGACTTAATCCAAAGAACTAAGACTTAAAAGTGCTAAGAACTGTTATTTCTTCTTGTAGTCTACACTGAAATGGAGCAAAGGATCATGGTCTATGTAGTTCTCTTTGTCTTTTTTTTTTTTTTTTAGCTATTGCTGCACCATAACTTTTAATTGAGGCAAAGAGACTTGTAATTCGATATATTGTGATGGTCCACGAAATTATTTTGCGAACTTTGACGATACGATATCACGATATTTCTGTTATTGTTATACCCCTAAAAATACCTGAAATATTGTGTTCTTAAGGGTCCTGTATTACACAACATTGACTCTTGTGAGCTTTAAGCTATGTTATAATGTTGTTACCTTTTCAAAAACTGTTTACATCTCCATAGCTCAAAATGCTGTTCCACCTTGTGAGGTCATGAACTGGTATTTTTCAAGTTAAAAGCTACCTTTTACTTTTTCTTCAACCTGATATTGACGATTCCAGGACTGAAGTTATCCAAATAAGCGTAGTGAAGGTGTATGGATTTTAAAGACAAAGTGGAGCACTTCCTGTCTTAATAGCTGACATCACAAAGTGGAACAGAACAATTTACTGTCTGAGAGAAGAACACAGCTTTTAAATATGCAGGATTTGTGTGTTAAACATGTGTGAATGAAACCAAACATAACTCCAGATTTGTTTGTGATGAGGCAACAACATTTTAACATCAGGCCCTTTAATAAAACAGGGACTTTTTTGTTTATTTTTAGTTAATTTAGGCTGTTTTATTTTAATGTTATGTGGCCTATTGAACATCATTAGTGGTTACTATTATTTTTTATCCGAAATGTTGCTCTTTGCAGCCTTGACTGTTTTATAGCCTAAGGTACATTGGCGTTCGCACTGAAATACACGTTAAACTGCCTATTTGCAAAACATGTTTTAATTTTGTAACTTTCACGATAGATCCCGGTTAACAATGAGAGGTAACTGTATGTGCCATAATCACAATTACAGTAAGGTACATCTGAAGTATTTGGGTATATCTGGTGCAAAGTAGTGGCACAGCGGCTCCTTATGGTTTGATTCAAATGGGATGTGTCTGCTGTAAAGTGTGATATAATACACTTCACAACGGATTCAAGATTCTGTCTGTCACACCCACTTTGCCTGAGCACGATTCACACTCAACTATGAATATTCCAGAAGATAACAAACTTCTGGAGCCTGATTGGACAAACTTTATACATTAGAGAAGTAAGCAGCAGCACCTTACGAGCATCTGGCGTGTGAACCTGCCGCACGGTCCGCTGGGGAGAGCTTCTTCTTCCTGTCAGGTGGAATACGCATCACTTTGAACTTTCAGCCCCGTTTACAGCTACATTAGGAACGCGCGCCTTCGCTTTTCACCTGATGTTACGGAGCGGAATATTATAAACACCGTGTGCGTAAACTCTCCTCTGGTTTTACGCCTAATCATTACATTAACAAACGATTGGAGAGCGGGGGAGACGCGTCAGCAGCGATGAAATATTGATATGTGATTTTCTATTTAAATGGGGCGCTTTTTCCGTAGGTAGGTCAAACATCTTTTTGGCTTTCCTATCTTGGCGCGACAGTCCAATGAGCTGATTTTTGTGATTTGACATCCTCCCGACCGCCACCGACACCAGCGTGTGCGTGTGGGTGCGCGCGTACACAGAGGCGGAGAGAGACAGCGCGAGTAGAGAGGAGAGGAGAGGAGAGGAGAGAAGAGGGAGGAACTTTGTTAGGCTACCAGGCTTCGCTGTGTCTCCCCCGGCAGTGCGCGCTCAAAGGGGAAGCGTTTGGCAGTTATGGTAGATCAGCGCTTCTTTTTATCCTCGGTGACGCCTTCAAAAGCTCCCATTTCGAGAGAATAAGCAGTGTTTATCAATGTGCGTGAGGTACGTAGCCTGTGTGTGGTTATGTTGCATGAGTTGAAATGATGTAGGTTATTGTATGTGACAAGGGGAGACGCAGGATGTAAAGTCCTCCCAGTGTGACATGGCTGCTCTTAACCGCACGTTTACTCTGTTGTTTTGGCGCTTTGACCTTGCTTTTTGTGTGTTATTTGCATAGCTCGGGGGATCTACTTTTTTATAGCCTGTTATGTATTTAAAATCAGCAGCCAGAAGTTACCTCTGGGAGACGAGCATCCAGGCTTTGGCTTTTGCCGCTACACAAAGCCTCATCTTGTTCATAGAGTTGCCAGTTTTAACACTATTATTTGTTTTTTATTCTTAGATGACACTGTGGATACCTTTGTGGAATCCTGTGCTGTGAGCTTGGCCGTCATTGCTGCTGGAAAATGCCTCTTTGGATTTGGTATGTTCTCTTAAGTGCTGCATCAATGTGCACAGCTCAGACGTTTGACACTTATGGGGAGATATGTCAAAAAATGTGTGTCTGTGACGAGAAAGAGGGAATACTGACTGTGAGCTGTGAAAACAGAGGAATCTCAACCATCTCAGACATAAGCCCTCCCTTTTACCCCCTCTATCACCTCCTACTTACCGGGAACCAACTCCGTAAGCTCTCCGCCAACGAGTTTGTGGAGTACAGAGGAATGACAATTTTACATCTGGGGAATAACGACATCTCGGAGGTGGAGGCGGGAGCGTTTAACGGACTTCAGGGATTACGACGATTGCATCTCAACAACAACAAGATAGACGCCTTGAGGGAAGAGCTTTTCTTCGGCCTGGAAAGTCTGGAGTACCTGCAAATTGATTATAATTACATCACTCAAGTGGCCCCGAACACCTTCAACAGACTCAGACATCTGGAGGTGCTAATCCTAAATGACAACCTCATCTCCAGCCTGCCCATCAACATTTTCCAGTATGTTCCGCTGACCCATTTGGACTTAAGGGGCAATCAGCTGAAAGTGCTTCCTTACTCCGGTCTACTGGAGCACATGAACAGTGTGGTGGAGCTGCAGCTGGAGGAAAACCCTTGGAACTGCTCTTGTGAACTTATCGCACTCAAAACTTGGCTGGAGAGCATTTCGTACACAGCCTTAGTCGGGGATGTAGTTTGCGAGTTTCCGTTTCGCCTCCACGGAAGAGATCTTGACGAGGTCTCGAAACAGGAGTTGTGCCCGAGGAGAGCCATTGCTGAATATGAGATGCCGCCCCTGCCTCATTTGAGCACTGATGCATACTATAGGACTACTCCGCCGCTAGTCACATCCTCCTTAACATCATCTGGGATTGCGCGCTCATCATCAAGACCCACCAAGGGGCCGCGCCAGTCAGGCAAATTAAAAACAAGGCCAACTGCTCGTGTCCAGTCGAATAAGCCGCAAAACTATGGCCAGATTGTTTCATATCAGACAAAATCACCAGTGCCTTTAGACTGTCCCACAGCTTGTACATGTAACCTACAAATATCAGACCTGGGCCTAAACGTGAACTGCCAGGAGCGAAAGATAGAGCAGATATCAGACTTAGAGCCCAAACCATACAATCCCAAAAAGATGTACCTCACTGGGAACTATATCACAGAGGTGGAACAAGCAGACTTTATTGAGGCTACTGGATTAGACTTACTTCACCTTGGTAACAACAGAATAGCACGCATACATGAAAGAGCTTTTGGAGACTTAACCAATCTTAGAAGACTTTACCTGAATGGGAACTTGATAGACCGCCTCACCACTGACATGTTATATGGTTTAGAAAGCTTGCAGTTCCTGTATCTCGAGTACAATGTTATAAAAGAAGTCACAGCAGACGCATTTCAGCACGTGCCAAAACTCCAGCTCCTTTTCCTCAATAATAACCTTTTAAAAACCTTACCAGCTGGAGCATTTTATGGCCTCACATTAGCTCGCCTTAATCTGCGCAACAACCATTTGCGATATCTGCCAGTCAGCGGAGTCCTGGATCAGCTCACAGCGCTGGTGCAAGTGGACCTGTTTGAGAATCCGTGGGACTGCTCTTGTAGCATCCTTGAGCTGAAGTCATGGCTAGAGCAGCTTAGCACAGGTACAGTTGTAAATAACGTCATCTGCGGCTCTCCTAAGAAGCTGGCGGGGGAGGATATGAGATACATTAAAGCTTCCAATTTCTGCCCTAATAACTCCGAGGTGTTAGCTTCCATGATCCCTCCATCCGAAGAGACATTCCCAGGCAGCACCATCACCATAGAAACGTCTTTAGATTCGGACATGGACAACAACGCCATCCCGCTGTCCGTGATGATACTCGCCCTCCTTCTCATATTTATAATGTCGGTTTTCGTAGCAGCCGGCCTGTTCGTAGCCATGAAAAAGCGCAAACAGAAGAACCAGCACGAGCAGAATGAATCCATGAATGCCTGCATCAGTTCACTCAACATGGAATACGGGCTGTACAAAAAGGGCGCCATTCCGAAAGTGAGGACCTCTGCTGGACACGTTTATGAGTACATCCCACCGCCGACTGAACTGCCAAGCCGGACAACAGCCCAAACGCCAACCGATAACAAATCCGTGGATGGGTACAGAGACTTTGACGAGATCAGTGGACCATTTTTGGGTAATTCGGATGAGGAAGCTGCCAGTAACGTGCTGAGTTCTGAATACAGTGCCACCACTCCTGAACCTCTGAACAAGCCGACCACTCCTCATCGAGAAGAGCCATGTTACTACAGGGATGCACTTGATCCTGACAAACGTTATAGCAATACTTTACCGTGTAGACATGCGGCTCACTCATCTAGTCAGTATTCTTCAGCAGACTTTGAAAATACTAGTAGACAACAATACGTGCCACCTGAACGAATACAACAGACTATTTTGTACTGTACAGCTCCAAGTACTGTTTACGTTGAACCTAACCGGAGCGAGTACTGGGAGTTAAAAGCAAAACTCCATATTGACCCAGATTACTTGGAAGTTCTGGAAAAGCGGACTACCTTTACGCAGTTTTGAAATCCACCAGACGCTATTCAATGTGTCAAGAATTTTACAGACTGAAAGACAATAGTTTTTATTGTCATCTTTGTTATTGCACATTTCTCAGCTGTGCAGGGTTTAGCAGCAGGAACACTACTTGTTTTAAAGTATCACTTCACACTATGTCCCCGTGGTACTTAGCAGTTTAAAATGTGTAAATACGATTATGAACAAGCTTGTGGAGATTCAGGGTTGCTATGATTCACTCGCATAGAAAAAATATCCATCCTGGAGCTATTTTGCTGACGACAATGGGAGACTAAGCTTTTAGGCCTAAATTAGCTGCGTTTTAGGATGATGGGTTAATGAGGTGTGCAGCAATGTTCTCAGTCCAAAAATATTCAATGTTTTTTTTGTTTTTTTGTTGCAGAGATATCAATGTCTCCCAGTTGTACACTCTCAAATTGATCTGTAATGAAGCTAAATCCAATCGAGGGGTAACTGATGCCAAGTGCAGTGTTGTAACAGAAGTCATATTTTTGGAACATGGTTTTACATGTGGGTGAGAGACAGATCTACAATATATATGCATCACTATGGTATTTTTCTCCTTACTTTTGATGTATTTACAGGGATTTCCAGATACATTATTCACAAAAATGTATTTAAAATGTTTCTAATTTTTCTATGAACACATAACAAAATAAACATATTATATTATATAGAAATCTAAACATATATTATATTACATAGAAATATGTGGTAACTACATTATAATTTTATGATCAAATGAAAATAAATAAAGTTCCCAGGCCTGGCATTAATAAAATGTAGCTACCAAGAGATTCACTGGTGAAATCCAAACACTATTCAAAACTAGGTCAAATCAAATGAGATCATGGGCAGACATATGAAAATATATCTGTTCCTCTGTGTTGATGAATTATAACACACATATTCCGTTCTGGGTTCAAACGGGAATTTTGCAGCATCGTCAATTGTCAGCTTTTTTTCTAATATACTTTACTCAGCTTTATTCTTGCTTGATACACTATTTGTGAATTTTATATTTAAATTAAATTAATTCCCTTTCCTTTTCATCACACGCTGAGATGATTTACTGACAAACAAGCTAAGCACCCTGCTGTTTATCTAAAATGTAGTAGTCTTTGTGGTATGCTGCTTGCCTCTGATTCTATTAAAGTGTGAGGAAGTTTATTCCATGTCCACTGGTCCTGCCCCATTCTCTGATTGGTTCTGTCTATCCAACTGTGACCAGGGCTGAGAAACTCTACTCCCATCCACAGAGAGCAGATTAAGTCATTGTATAGAATAGAACCAAATAGTGATGGTTGACCAGGCTCAGTTAAAACGGATTAAGATTATGCACTATATCAATCGTGCAATACGTAGCCCTCAGAGTTAAAAATGGTTGTACTCATGTGGAGCACTTGAAGAAAATTGGCACAAATACTTTAAACTCTGGCACATGCACATAAATTCACCTTGTGTTTTGTGGTGATTTAGCATTTAATCCACAAAAAAAAATCCACATATATCCGTAAGTAGTCTCTCTACATTCAAAACGCACTGTAGTGACTTAAAGGTCAGTTATGATGTCGGTGTTTTGAAATTCATAGCCATGTAGCGTAGCTTTATCAAATGCAAACATGCAAATGATTTCCCTATGCATACATTAGAGAGTAAACACAGACAATCCGTTTGAAAAGACCACCTCTCATTTCTTTAGGCACACGCCACAGTCTCCATATTAATTAATATTAAAGAGAATTAACATGCAGTATTCATGTCCCATATGTGAGAACGCATCAATATTCACAGGTAGTATTTTGATCATTCATATTGCTTATCTGTTACGTTCTTTGTACAGTTCTGTTTTGCCTTGCATTGTCGTGGAAATGTGTGTTCTTGGAAGTCTTCATAGATTGCGTGCAAATATGACAGCTTTGAGAATAATTGCACGCAAGGATTGTCAATGTGCACTGGAAAGAGAGACATCCTTCATAATCGCTCAACTTACTTGTTCTGTGGATCGATAACCCAAGTCGATAAATGCAAGAGTTCAGAAGCAAAGGAGTGCACACTGTATACTCTGGTCAACCCCTGTCATCTTTGCTCAACTAATTAGAGCCCACATTGTATCTGGACGCTGTCAGCAAGTCACCATGCATTATACAGCTGCGCTAGTCAGCCATGCTCCTTACTGATGCTAAGGTCTGAGTGTGCCTGCCTCATGTACGAAGTAGTTTCCTCTTCTGACCTGACTGAACTCAATGGAAAATCCTCATTTGCGCAGCGAAGCGTAGCATTTCATCATGTTTGAAATGGAACATACATCGTCGTCTTATTATTGCATTCAAAATAAGGCTTTTATATGAAGGCTACGACCATGTGTACGCAGAATGTCTAGAAATAACCATTTGAATTTGTGTGAACCTCATTTATATTCATATTACCCAAAATGCAAAACAAAAGAGGTATTATTTTTTCCTATTCTTTGTAATCATAAGCCATGTGGGACGTTTAAGTAGGACACGCACACTAAAATCTGTCCAAAAAAATTCCATGTACAATTTTAGAAAACAAGCACCCAGCCAGATTCCAATGTCTTTCTTCTGCTTTTTTTTAACTTATTTATTTATTTTTTGCTTTGATTTGAACAGTCACTCCGTATGTCAGATTTGTAAATAGAACATGGCGCCATCAGCATAAACTTTTGCAAAGGCTCTGAAAAAGCAAAAAAAGTGTCTCTTATTGCAAAAACACAGTCCGACCAGAGAATTTGTGGAGGTAAATATAACTACAGTGTGCTGCTTCTTTAGTTGTTAGCTGATGAATAAAAGATTTGCATTCATTTGGTATATGTTTGTTTGTTTGTGTGTGTGAGTGTGTGTGTGTGTGAGAGTGGGATGCACAGTAAGTCAGGTCTACTGAGGACTGAATATTAAACACTGACAAAGTTGCGGTGAGATCAAAACCTGAAATGATATAACACTGGTGCAATGTTGGCAATGTTATTATAATCAAAACATCCAAGTGGGATACCTGGCTTAGTTTGAGACTTCTCAAGTCTGGATAGATGGACTGGGATGTGAGGCAATTATATGTGAAAAACATTATTCTATAGACATATTACTTTATTTTTCAGACTATAAGTCACACTTTTTTCATGGTTTGGGTGGTCCTGCGATTTATACTCCAGAGCAACTTCTAGTCCGAAAAATACAGTAAACACAAACGTGAAATATATTTTTTAAAATGTATAATTTAAAATCAAATGTTGCTGCAGGGACAAACAGTTGGGAAAAGTGAAATAATAAAACCCATGTAATGAATAAAATAAAACTAATTTAGCATAGTTTTGCTATTCATGTGCTGGTCCATTGCTCAAAACAAGATTTTAAGGGAAGTAAAATCAAACAATATAGTATGATATGAATACACTTCATTGTTATGGGAACCTTTACCTCCAGAAGCACTATGTAACTTTTGTCTCACCGTGTGTCTCCATGGAGATGTTACTACATTGCCTGTAATGTTCATACAGTCTGGAATTAAACTTATCTTCCATTTATTCATAGTCTTCAGACTATGTTTAATAAGTTAAATGCCAAACTATGTAACATTCAATTCAATTCATTTTTGTGTTGCCCAAAATCAGCCGAACAGCAGTTGCCTCGCAGAGCTCAACAAAACTGTTGATTTAACAAACTGAAAGTTAGAAAATTAAACAGAGAGACAGTCATTGGTCAATAACAGACAAGCAGATTAACCAAGTTCACAAACAAAAGCAAATAACATTCCAGGCAAAGCAAAACCATCACCATAGAGACAGGTAGGTGCTGAATCCTCCACCTGTGCACCTACAGCTCTTGTCAGGCAGTAGAGAAAATTCTGCATTTAACTCAGTCTTTAATATCACTAGGGCAGCCACACATACAAAACATTGCGCAACCATACTGCTTAGTGCATATGGGTGGCAGTAGCTCAGTTTTTGGAGTGTTTGTCCTCTGATCTGAAGCTTGGTGGTTCGAATCCCATTCTCAAGATAAAAAAAAAAACATCATTGGTTGGTTGAGTAGTGCAATTCCAGCTCCCACAGATGAATGCTGACACCTCGCACCAGTGTCTGCGTACACTGGGGTCTGAATGGCTGAGTGGTTCCTTGTTGTTGTTGTTGCTTTAAAGGTGGAAAAGTGCTAAATAAAAACAAGAACATTTACCGTATCTTGACCCAGGTTCATGGTTACGAATGCATCTTGCATGTGTTGAATTTCCAGGCGAACATGCTAAAAATATATTGTATACTGTGCCTACAAGGATTAAGAAGAATAATCCAAATTGGAGACTGTTTTGAGGCTTGTATGACACATAAATCGGCCTTGTTTATACTGACAGACACTGACTAATTAGTCCTCTCATGTAGAAATGCAATGATGATGCCATGCCCCGAGTGGTCCAACAGCTGCACTATGTAGCGACTGCACTGGAGGCCTGGGGCAAATCATAACATGCAGGGTACTGATGCCAAAAGGGTCCCTCTCTCCTCAAATTAAAATACAAAAAATGGTCTTAACAAAAATATAAATTAAACATTCAAAGATGTGTAAGAAACAAAATGCTTCGATTTGACCCTAATCTAACTACACTAAAAGAACAAAAGCTACATCTGCATGAGAACAGGGGACCAGACTGTATTCTTAGCCGCTTTCGGGAAGCAGCCTGTATCCATGGAAACGTCCAATTACCTGACACGGAAGAAAGCAAAAGGGTATATGCTGACATAGGGTGCCAACTCATTTGCAACTTTTGACAGGTATGACATTACTCTAGCCTCTTTTTCAAACGTACACAAGGCAACCGGAGAGATTAAAGGTTACGATTTCAATTTCCTGCTTGTGTTTTTTAATTTTCCTGACAAACACAGCTCCGTGTCACTCATAATAGGACTGCAAACCATTTCACATTACCTTTGACTCATGGATTTGTCAGTCTGATGGTGTCACATTGCTTAG